CCTTCAAGTCCTGACTGCAGTGGCTCAGGTAGGTCCTGTGTGGTACCTGTTGTCGCTGTCATTCTTGCCTTGTCAGGGGGTGACCTAGCGAGTGCCAGCATGCCCACACAGAGGGAGCATGTGTGTCCCAGCTGCATTGGCAGCTCTGTTCCGCAGGGCCATTTGGGGACCCACAAATGCCATCGTCATTGCATGTTTGAAGCAGAGTCTTACCCTGCAGCCTGGAGAGTGGAGAAGAGGCAGTCACAGGGTGGCCGTTTCCTTCTAAGTGGTTTCTGGAGGGGAAGGGGGCAGGTGGTTTTGGGGATGGGAGCAGAGGGAAGCAGTCTGTCCCAGGCTGTGGTGATGAGGACCCACCCCAGGACTTGCACTATGGAAGGCAGGGCCTCCTCCAGCTCCCCAAAGAGAAGCCCTTCCAGAGTCCTGTCTTCCTGAAGATAGGGTTGGCCTCCCAAGGCGGCTTACGGGCTTTGGCCTGAGGTGAGGTGGGGGTGTGCCAGAGAAGATGTGAGCAGAAGGGGACAGTCCATGGACACATTGCAGGTGTCTCAGCTGGAAATGTGGAGGCTGCTGGGTAGTTTCTGTGCCCCTGTAGTGGGAGGATGTTGGAGGGCTGCGGACCACTCACCCTGCTGTGGAAAATCTGCTGGGAGCGGTCGAGCCCTGTTGCCATGGTAGGTGGGAAGCCAGGCTCAGCTCAGGAAAGGTGGCTGCCCCCTGGCTAATGTCCTGGCTGTGGCTCTGCCCCATCTGCTTCTCACTTGCACTGTCAACTGGACTCCTGCTTTAGGTGCAGCCTCTTTGTCAGAGCACTGTCATCTTGGTCACTGTTGTTTTTTTAAGGTGCTTTTTTCCCTGGTACTGGGGTTTGAACTCAGGCCTCACTCTTGCTAGGAAGGCATTCCACTACTTGAGCCACTCTACCATGGTCACTATTGTTCTAGCAAATATCTGCTGCTTGCCTGAAAGACCCATCCAGGACTTGGAGGCAGTAGTGTGTGGAGGATAGGGCAGGGGTGGTGAGCTCACAGCACTGGGCAGAAGCAGGCAGGCAGTGTGCAGGCATCCGGGAGGCCCCTGGCTCAGGCAGCCTTGGTGACACTCGTATCCACTCTCTGGTCCCTGGTGATTCCTCAGCAGTGAGCTAGCACCCTGTGGGGTCTGACCTCCTGCAGGTGACTGAGGGATGGTTGTGAGGGAGGTACTCTGCACACATGGGGTCTTGCCTTCTCTCCGGAGGCTGTTCTTGTGTGGCAGCTCTGGCACTTCTTCTTTAGCCCTGAGTACTTGTGAGAGCATTATATGAGTTGCCTCACCTGCCCGGTCAGCATGGGCCTTGGAGCCTGTCTGCCCTACTGGCTGTGGCAACTGGTCACAGCACTCATGGCAGCTGCAAGGTCTCACTGGATAGAATGCTTCAGATACTTCTTCCAGAGGTAAGAGCTTAGACTTCACCCCTTTCTGGTGGTGTGACCTTGTGCAGGTTGAATGTCCTTGGGTGGGTCACCTGCCCTCTGCCCCCAGCTTCTTCATCTTAAATGAGGAGAGTAGCACTGGGCCTTTGGGCAGGTTCTATGTGTGGCTGCTGGAGCCCTCACCCTGTGAGCATGGCTTATTGCTTGTCATCATACTTGTCACTGATGCCCTGGCTGTGACCATCCTGATGGCAAGCTGCAGTGACATCATACTGGAGCCCACTGAAGACAGTGGGGTAGTGGGTGGGTGGCTGCCCTTCCAAGGCCAGGGGCACGAGCTGAGCTGACCTTTGTACTGGGAACAGCACAGGTGGCCACCCTTCCAGATATTTCTCTGAATGTAGCAGCTGGCCCTGGAGATCTGGGGTAGGGCCATGGGGCCTGTGAATCTCTGAGCCTGTCAGGGGAGAAGGATGGCAGGTCCTTGGTCTCAGCAAAGAAAGAATTCCAGGGTGAACATGCAGAGGAGTTTTTTAAAAAATTATTATTATTATTAGCATATTATAGTTGCACAGGGGTACACTGTGATGTTTCTGTAAATACTGACAATATCTCTTAATTAGATTCACCCCCTCCATCTTTCTCCTTTCTCTCCCTAACCCCCTTAGGACAATTTCAATAGTTCTCATTGTTCTGTTTTCATATATGAATACAAAGTACTTCCACCATATTTGCCCTCCTTTGCCCTTCCCTTATTCCCTCCCCCCTCTCACTGGTACCTATACCCGACAGAACCTGTTTTACCTTCCTGTACTTCATTTATTAAAAAGGAACATTTTTCTTAGTTTATGGTAGTTATACAGGGGGTTTCCTTGTAACATTTCTATATATACAAGTATTATAACCTGAATTGGTTCATCCCCTCCATTATTCTCCCTCCTACCCAACTCCCCTTCTTATGGTTTCAGTGTTCCATATTCATACTTGTATAGAAAGTACATCAACCCTTTTTTCTCTCTTCTTTATCCTCCACCTCCCACTAATGCCCTCCCCTTAACATGACCTGTTTTACTTTCCTGTCTGTCATTGTCTTCGTTTTTCAGTGGGATTTTCGCCTTGGCATTTACCCATAAATATATTGTGCCTAAGTCAGTCGAACCCCCTCCATTACTCTTCCCCACCCGTCCCCCCATCCTGGGCTGTTCAGCAGTTTTCAGTGTGTTTGTGGTTCCTGCACAGATGTGGTGTATCTCATTATTATTCACTTTCTATCATTCTTTCCTTCTTTCCTCCTCTCTTTGCTTCCAGAGGAGTCTTTAACAGAGCACACATATTAGAGCAGCAGTGATCATGAGGTGCTGTACCCCCGCCCCCCAACAGGAAACTGAGGGCAGGCAGCATGACCAAGCATTTAAGTGCCCTGGGCCCAGTCTTAGGTGCTCTTATGGATAGGGCTTAAGGACTGTGCCAAGGGTATGCACGTAACTGTGGCGTTGCCAAGAATCAGGATTAGGAAATGATTTACCTGAGAGGGTGTCCTCAGAGGCAAGATGAGGATTTGAAGGAACGTGTGTGCGTGAAACCACAACTATAATGAGATGTGGGTGAGACCTCAGGCTAACCTCTCAAGTTGGCAAAGTCTGTGTTAGGGTCATTGCTGGGGCCATTGGCTGCTGAACTAAGAAGTAGACTCAACCATACCCAGCTGATAACCCAGGACAATGGTGGAGCAGGCTGGCAAAATGTACCCAGATACAGTGCTGCTACTGTTCTCTGGCTCCTTTGTGTTACTCTTGTTCCTTTTCTACCCACCTATCTTGTATCAAGCCTGGGGTGCTCCAGAGCACCAGTAGCAGGGGTCTGTCTGCTCCCAGACAGGGAGTCAGCCCTGCTGTTGCTCAGCCAGCCGTATGATGTCAAGCAGAACTAGGCTTGAGGCCTGTGTTCTGGTGAGAAACCCGATGGCAAGTCCAGGCAGCTGACACTTTGCTCTGCTCTGGGACACCTTAGCCGGCTTAGAATGAACCCTCAGAGGATCCTTCAGCACCCCAGTATCTGTTCCACCATAGCCCTTTTGCAGTCCTCACGTAATTTTTACATTTTATTATGGAAAATTTAAGCACAGAGAAAAAGTTGAACCAACTGCATGGTGCACTTATTCCTGGATTTCACCCTGCCCTTTCACCAACTGCTTGGGTCACACATCTGGCTGCCCCCCACCACCATGATCTGTGCTTTACAGTCTGCTGAAGCTCTTGCATACTTCCTTCATGAACTGTTTCCTGCCATACCTTTCCTTTTAAGGTCAATTTGTCCTCAGTGAGTTGCCCAGATCTCAAGTGTGCTGTCTGAACATTTTAACAAATGCCTGTGTCACCCAGCCTTGTCCAGGTGCAAGCATGGCCCTCACCCTGGGATGTCCCTCTGCCCTGCCTAGCCCAGAGGCACCACAGACTGCCTTCATCTGTTGGAGAACACTGGGCTGAGTGCTCTAGTGTCTAGTGTCATGTCTGAGGTAAACTGTGCTGCACATGAGGGGCTCCATCACACACAGCGTTCTTGGGCCTTTGCGTCCTTGTGTGTGACCTGCACCTGCAGTCTTTTCAAGTCTCAGCTCCAGTAACAAAGCTGCCAGAAGGTTCTTGCACAAGCTTCTTAGGGACTGTCTTGTCCCTCTGTGTGAGAACCCAGGGTGGAACTGCTGGCTGGGGGGCAGGTGTGCAGTGGTGTGTGGCCTGCAGATCTTCCCTGCAGTGGCCTTGGCATGTGATGCTTGCCCCAGCAGTGTGCGTCCTGGGTACCATGTCCTTACCAGAGCTTGGGGTGTCCCCATGATGTTTTCTGTGGTTTTGGTAAATCGAGATAAAATTTGGTTGACATGAAAGCCATTAACTTTGTCATCCCAAAAGCATTCTTGTGTTTTTAGTATATTTGCTGTTGTGCATCCATCACCACCTTCCATCTCCAGGACATTCCCATCAACCCAGAGGAAACCTGTACCCTCTAGCAGTCACCCCTGGCCCCACCTCTGACCTGCCTGGCAGCCCTACCTGCTGTCTGTGTGGACTTGTCTGGGTGTTCTGTAAGTGGAGTCACAGCTGCTGGCTTATTGTAGAGCAGGGTGCATCATGGTATGCATTGGTGCCTCTTCCTTTTCCTGCTGGGCAGTGTTCTGCTGTGTGGCTGGGTCCTGTTTTGATATTGTTCTTAGTTGCTGGGCATGTGGTGCCTCCACCTCCTCACCCTGAGGAACAGCCCAGCTTTGAGCATCCTGCACATTTTGTGTGGATGGACGTCCTCAGTCCTCTTGGCACATGTGCACAGGAGTGAGATTGCAGGGCGGTGCTTGAGTGCCCTCTTTGTGAGGACCTGCTCCCCCTCCAGCTTGAGTACTGGGAGGACAGATGTGGGTGTTCCTTCCTATCCTGTGCCTGACCCTTCAGAGGCTGAGCTAGAAGGTGGGGGTGAGGTACAGGGCAGTGTGCCTCTCCTCTGGGAGTGGCTGAAGCAGTTGGTGATGCTAGTCCACCAGCGAGAGTCCTCCCCTTATGCTTTCTTCCTCTAGCCATCCGGACGATGCTCGTGATGTCCAGGAGCTGTGCCAAGAGATGTCGGGCAACATCTTCAGCATCAACTCCCATGGTGAGTCCTGGGACTGTCCTCCCCTGTCTCCCCACTGTCCTGGAGTCCTGTAGTCCAGTCCCAGGTTCTCAGGCTGGGTCAGGGCCACCTTTCAGCGTAGGAGCCTCAGTCTTGGGCAGGGTGGGCCACCCTGCTCCCCAGCAGCAGCTCACTTTCAGCTCTCTCTCCATCCACTCTGCATTGCAGGCTTCTCTCACACCTGTTGGGACTGGACAAGGTCCTGTGAAGGAGGAGTGTGTTCCAGGTTCTTCATATTGGCAGGGTTGGCAGAGCAGGTCCTTGAGGTTGGGGCAGGGGATGAGAGCCACGTCCCACATGCCCAGGGGAGGGGAGAAGCCTTCCCCAGGCCTGGGTGAGGCCTGAGGGAGGTGGCTCTTGAGTACATAGGCCTGGGCCTGTCTTCGGACAGCTGAGGAGAAGGTCCAGGTGGGCAGGTCTCTGCTGGGGAAGGCGAGCTAAGCTTGGTGTCCAGATCATGTAGGTAGTCTACATTGTCTAGGCCTAGGCTCCAGGCTGTCTGCTGAGGTGGCCACACACTGGGGTGAGGAAGCGGCAGGGAGGGTACTGCTCCTGATGCTTGTTTCCTCTTCTCTCGGGCAGTAACCTCCTTGGAGCAGAGCCTCCGGTCCCGGGGGACACTAAGTGACACACAGGAGCTTCGAGACAGCCTGTGAGTGTGCAGCTGCGGTATCTCTGTGCCTATGTGGGGTGCCACGTGTGTACTCACACACCTGGTGTGTCCACTTAGGCACATGCACACGTGTGAGTAAGACTGGCTTGAACTTGGGACCTGAGACTGGGTGCTCAGCCATGAGGCTCATGTCTCCATGACACAGGTGCGCCCTCCCCACCCCCTGCAGAAACCCACGTGCATCAGTGGATACCCACAGACACTTGTGCACACAACTGGCAGGGTGCACACCAGCTTGCATGCCTTGTCTCACCAACATGTTCACACGTGCTTCTGCCATACCCCAGGCTCACTGGCAGGCCCATAAGTATGCATGCACCTGTGAACATCAGATGGGGTTGAGCAGGACTTTTGGGCTTTGGCTCTGCCCATATGGGGTGCTGAACCTTTATGGTAGTCCCACTGTATTTCCTTGAGGGCCCAGCAGCCTGCTTTGGGCTGTTCTGGTCTGGGATGAACTCTTAAGTCCTGAGGGAGAGAGCTCTCTGGTGCTGTTTGCTGTGCCAGGCCCTGTGTGCCAGGAGGAGAAAGACATCTCCTATGGGGAGCAAGCACCTGCGCTGGCATGGTGGTCAGGTGGTGGGCATGCAGGGTCTGAGGGCTATTGGAGGTAGGGTGCAGTTGCTCTCCCACAGACTGCTCTGTAGGCCTGACCTGGTCCCCAGCCCAGCCTGTTCTGGGCTTTGTGACCCGGGACAGTCAGCCCTGAGGATCCACCAGCTGGTAGAGTTCTCACTGGGCTGCTGTTGGGGTGTCTAATCCTCAGTCCATTCTCAGTGCTTGCCCTGCATTCTCCACACACAGCTGTGAAGCCTGGCATCCATGGGCAAGACTTGGGGGCACTTGTCCTCACACCAGTTGAATTCTAAGTGAGCAAGTTGGCCTCCACATCAGGGCCCAGGTTCCATGCAGAAGGACTTTTGTAGATGTCACCTGTAATTCTGTGTTTAGATTTCTGTTTAGTTTTTTTTTCAAATAAAATTTATTTTCTGATTGTGAGAGTAATGTACACCTATTCTAGGGCATACAGGATGTCAGAGGAACCATTGTTGACGTGTGGTATTCCTGGTTGCCCTCTCAAATCCATTGCATTCTGCAGAATCAAATTTAAGTGAGTCATCTTCTAGAACCTGCCCTTCACATTCAGGCTGTGTGGTGTGGCATGCCCTTATCAAGGCAGAGAACACTGTTGGACAGGCATGGTTGATGTAGCAGACTGGGCTGGCTCTGTCGACTTTGCATTTTTAGTGTTATGAGCAGTTCCCAGAAAGGTGTTGTGGTTTTTTTGTTTGTTTGTTTTGTGGTACTGGGTTTGAACTCAGGGCCTACACCTTGAGCCACTCCACCAGCCCTTTTTTGTGATGGTTTTTTTTGAGATAGGTTCTTGCAAACTGTTTGCCCAGGCTAGCTTCAAACTGTGATCTTCCTGATCTCTGCTTCGTGAGTAGCTAGGATTACAGGTGTGAGCCACCGGTGCCCAGCTAAGGTGGGTGTTAATCTTTGTGTCACTGCCTGTTTCCTAGGCTTGGTCACTAAAAGCCAGGCGGGTGGGCATTTTCAGTACTCTGGCCCTTACATATGTGTCCTGAGCCACATGTCTGGTTAACTGAAGGACAACATCCCCAATGTGGGCCTGGGAGAAGGGAGGGCTCCCCACACAGAGTGGGGAGACCTTCTGGACACAGGACTTGGCCTGTTGTACCTGCAGCCCGCAACCCTGGTCTGAGGACTAGGGATCTGGCAGAGGCTTGTCCCCACCCAGCAGCCACAGTATTCAGGTGAAAAGTCTCACCTTTGTGCCTCTTGCTTCTTCCTGTTGGCTGCTGCTAACAGACTGCAGACCTCGTCTGTCCGTTCTGGCCTTAGGAGCCTTTGTGACCCCATTCTATGCATGTCACACTAAACTAGTTTAGTTATATCTAAACACTAGTGTATCATATGCCACTAGTGTTTAGATATAACTTTACAGATTAGCAGGTAGCTGCAGAGTCTGTGTGTTTTCCACATTGACAGAGCTGTTGGTTTTTTCGTTAGGCCAAGTGAGTACAGAAAGAAGAGCAGAGCTGTCCATTGTGTGACCTATAAAGGGAGGGGCTTCTGGCCTTGCAATGGTAGGAGGGATCCAGTCTGGAAAGAGAACAGATTTAGCTTCACACAGGCCTTACAACACAAGCTTGCCCTTCTCACCCTGTGTGAGGCAGGTGTATTTTTGTCATTGCCAGCCACTCCATCCTGGCCCCAGATGAGAGCATGGTGGCCATGTAGGTACCTTGTGGCTGACTGGCGGTAGGGACAGTACTTGTCTGGCTCTGGGGGCCCAGTGTCAGCTGAGGGTGCTGCTGGAGCCTAGGCATTGGACTGATGGATGGGCAGTGATCCTGTGGCTTGAGCAGCTGTGCCCTGGGCAGCACTGCTGAGTACTGTGGGTACTCACTCAGTATGGCACGGCTGCCTGTGACAGAGTCACAGCTGGATCCACCCTTGGCTGTTGACTGGCCTGGCTCAGCTAAGACAGGGAGCCAGTGGTAAATGACAGAGAGGACCCCCTGCCCTGGGCTCACAGCCCAACCCTGATTCTCTGGGAGGTCCTAACACTTCTGAGCGTTGAGGGGCTCCTGTGCAGGGCCAGACTGAGTAGGACCTGACCTCTCCTGGACACGTTCTGTCCCTCACAACACTCTCAGGTCCCTGGTGACAGGCAGCACAGCTTACTTGGGCAGTGTTAGGGTTGACCCAGCTACCGTGCCCCTGCTTCAGCCTTTGCTGCCCTGGTAGAACCCAGTCCTGCCACCTGTGTCACCAGGGGGTCTCTGGGTCTCTGTTGCTATGGAAACAGCAGCAGCAGAGCTGAGATACTCGGGTTCTCCAGGGCCGAGGGCAAATTATTGATGTGGGTGACTGGTAGAGGGTAGGCTCTCTGGAGTTCCACCCCTCCTCCATCCCCCATCCCCCAGATCTCCCTCCTCACCTTTCTTTCCCTTCTACATACATAGTCTTCTGCCTCCTAGTGGAACTCAGCCTTCTGCCCAGGCCCTTCCTTCCTCCCATGCCTCCATTCTTGCCACTACCGTTTGGCAACCTTTCAGAGGTCACCAGCTTGCTTCCTGATGCTGCCTAGTGGGGACAAGCCACTCAGGCCCAGGTGTGGGGCCCAGACTGAGCTTTGTGGGGAGGCACACACTCTGCTGTCAGTGGTCCCTTCCACCCTGAGAGAAACCACATCTGTGGAGGGCAGGTGGGGTGTGATGGGAGAGTCCCTCCTGGTGTGTGGCAGGAAAGCTCTGCATCCCTTGCCGAGGGAGGGAGTAGCGATGCTTCCTGCTTACCTCCCCTGCTGGGTGATGTGTTGAAAGACCTAGGGGGAAAGGACTACTGAGGGTGTGCCCAGTCCACAGCACAGTGGGCAGTGGTGGGCTCTTCAGCCCAGGATTTGCATGTCATGGGCACCAGAGGGATCAAGAAGCCCTGGATCAAGAGAATCCCTCGCCGTGGGGCCTGTGTGCAGTAATTCTTTGAGGAACTTATCCTCATAGCCCAGTGTGCTGTGGCTGAAGCTCACACCGAGCAGGACTACTGAGCCTCAGCTTGCAGAACTGCACTCCTGCACACAGAGACCCGCAGAGTGTGCTGAGGCCCAGGAAAGAGAAGGGCACTTCAGCTTGTTCCTCTGTCTGGAAGGGACCAGGTGGATGTAGCCTGCTTACCCAGTGTGCTGCTGTCTTGGAAAGGTGCTGACTCACTTCTAGCGCCACTTTGGGGCCCAGAGGCTCATAAATATAGGCAGGGCCCTCATAGCACATGGGGAGGCTGAAGCCCCGAGGGAGAGCTGTCCACTTCTCTTCTGTAGGATAGGGTGTTTGTGTGGCCCCTTGGGCTTGGGAGAGGCTATGCAGGTTTGGACCTGGAGTGTCCTGGGTTGAGGAAGCTGTCCAACAACCCCAGGACTGGACCTGACTCAGGACCTTGTGGATGTCAAGTCAAAAGGCCCATGGGGGTTGTAGGTGAGGAACTCAGCAAGTACAGTGGGGAGACCTGTGTTGGTACCATGTCTTGGCTGCACCTGGGATTATTCATAACCGAGAGGTTCTGGACAGTGGGGACAGGGTCACCTGGAAGCTTCTTTGTGCACGTCATCAGCACCTGTGATAAGTCAGGTAAGGAGCTCTGCTGGGCTGTCACCTGGAATAGTGTACAGTCTCTCCAAGGAGCTGGGCTTCCTGATAGTATGGCCACTGCATGGCTGCCTCTCCCCAGAGGCTCAGGGCCACTGTGAGCGCTCTGGTAAACAAGGCAGATGCCACATTGTCTCTTATGGTCCAGCTCAGAAGTCACACAGTGTTAGTCTATTGTCTTTGTCAAAGCCTGTCCAGGTTCAAGGAGAAGGGCATGGACCCTACATCTTAGAGAGGGAGGTGTCAGAGTATTTTGCAACCAGTTTTCAAACTGCCACAGACCCCAAGGCCACAGCAGATTCAGTGTGTTTGAGGAAGGAAAGAAGGGAACTGTTGCTCGATGAGGGTCCTGGCGGGGGCAGGAAGGAGACTGTGCTCATGAGCTGAGTCTGTTGCACACACTGAAAGGCAAGGCAGGCTGACTCAAGGAGTGAAGCCCGGGAACCCCTCCTGGTGTGCCTGCACACACCATGTGGCAGCCCTGCTCCACGGTGCCTGCACCACCCAGCTTAGGTGGAGAATGAGCTTGCATATCCTGCCTGGTGGGGTCACTGAAACATGCCTTCAGGGTCCCTGTCTTAATCTGCCCCAGTATTGGAACCACCCTGGACACTGAGGCCCTCCATCTGTGCTTTAACATGCCACTTAGAGGGCTGGCAGAGTGGTTCAAGTGGTAAGAGCGCGCCTGCCTAGCAAGCATGAAGCCTTGAGTTCAAACCCCAGTACTACCAAAAAAAAAAAAAAGGCAGTTTATATATAGCTGGGCTTCAGTGGCTCGCACTTGTAATCCTAGCTACTCAGGAGGCA